AGATTATTATTTGTAGTGTATTTATTAAAAGTAACAATCTCACCGCCAAATAATTGACTGGTATAATCGTTCAAGTGATCGTTAAAGAATGCCGACTGCTTGATTGTCGGAGAGGCTGGTTTCTTGACTTTCTCCACTGCAAATATTTTAATTTCATTCAAGTCCAATTTAAAAATGTTGTAACATTTCCGCGACTACAATATGGAGGGTGCTTTTAAACTAAAATTCCCGGACTTGAAATTACCGGACAAACCCAGACACAAATTTTGCAAAATATTTGCCTTGCACGGAGCCTGCCTTCACAAAAATAGGAGCTTAACATAATGTTGTAAGAAATCTTGAATCATGCTTGCTACATGTTTTACGATTGTATATTTAATAGTATATATATATATTCAAGCTAAGCCTGTGCCCTGTATGTCTTAGTTAAGGACACTAGGTGGGGCCCCTAACTAAACACTAGACAGGTGCCACATTTAAAGACGCTAAACGATTATTTGATTTATTTGAGTGGCTTAAATACGTAGAACTGTCATGTTTGTAGATATTTTTAGGGCTGTCAAATTATTGCTAAGGTGTACTATGTTTTAAAAGGAATGTTGTTTTCGAAGAGCGTATTATTATTATGCCTTCTCAATACGAAATTAAAGTCCATAGTACTCGTTAATCGTCTGTGCATTCCTTTCGAAATTCTGCACATTTTTACCACTCCTTTCAAATGGTAAGATGAATAAGATATAACATATATAATCTTATGTATAAGCTTACTATATTTATATATAAATAACTAATATATAATATATTATACATACCTTCAAACATGTCCCTACATCTGACCTGAACTTTTAACTATGTGGAATGATTATGACGAAAGTAATCGCTTCTGACGACCAGCTGGCATAATAATTGTGGCCTAATTGTTCTTTCAGTGTCACCTAGTCTAGGGAGTAGCTAAGGATTCATTGGATTTGTATGCGATCTCCTCGGTCGACTCAGCCGAATGATAGGAAACTTGATTGAGGGTTAAATGAGGAGCGAGGGGTACCTGTTAAAAAGTTAAAAGTTCAAGAAACTTCCTAGGATACCCCTTCAGTACATACTGTAAACATAGTACTATTAACTATTAACTATATTCTATTAGAATGTTACATTCTATATAGATTGTTCCACTTTGAAACTTACAATTTACGAAATTTACCAATCTAGACCAGTCTTGTGGCCTGTGGCTAGGAATGATTAATATTATTTTAATAATACATTATTAAAATAATCTGTAAATCATTGTTTATTAACCGATTTTGGGGCGTTTATGCATGTGATTTAGTGACAAAACCGTTCTAAGCTAGTTGATGCATGTAAAACAGCAAAATTAATCTGTGACATTGACAAAAACTCTCTCAATATAACATGAACCATGGTCCATGTTGCTGATGGGATTATAATGAGGTGATGAATTCGTCAGAAATTTTCATACACCGCTCTTTGCTTCTGTATAATTTAAATCAAGCTATCTCCTTAATTAATCACAATCAAGGTTTCCCCTACTCAAACGTTCAGTTTCCAATTCCATCTCTCTCACTCAGTGACATAAACCAGCCATACCGTGGCTCCATAATACAAACGATTTGTTTTATTTAATAAAATAGATGAAAGGTCGAATAAATAATTTAATTTTTATGTGAATGAAAGCGTAACTTATCCACCATCATCAAAGACATCCGAACAATCCCCCTATCCTTTGTGTCCAACACCAAAGTAACAATCACAAAACCACATCTTAACTAAATTATCAGCCACAAAGCTCGCACTAATCCCCATTAAAACCCCCGCACCACCTCATTAACCACAGTTCAGACAACAGAAGACACGGTGTCTGGTGTGTCTCCCCGCAGGATACTGTCCAGGTGACCACACCAAACTAGCTAATATCCAGTTCAGGACCCTCTTCTCCTCCCTTCCCTCCTCCCTTCCCTCCTCTCTCTTCTCCTCGCCTCTCCCACTACAAAGAGAAGTACAGTAAACAGGATTACTGAGACGTGCAGGAACAGCACTGCAGGTCACCTTTGAAGAGATGACTCAAGCCTAGTGACCAACACGACTAACCCTTGTTGACTGTTGAGAACGTGTGTTCTACGTGATGGTCCTCCACCACACCGGAATGGTGCCGGAATGGTGCCGAAATGGTGCCGGAATGGTGCCGAAAGTAAACAACCAGCACACGAGCAAAGCTTTGAAAATTAAAATATTTTACTCGTCGAGAGACATCTAAATCCTTTTATCTTTGAACCACTTTGATTAAACAGACCAAAAAGGCTTGTAGAGTTGTAGAAAGAATGTTCCTCATGATCTCACGTGGCAGGAGGTGTAAACAATGGTGGGGGAGGTGGTAAGGTGTTACGAAGGTGTTACGAAGGTGTTACGAAGGTGTTATGAAGGTGTTATGAACCGGTCCTGTTCAAACACAACTCAGCTGTAGAGCGGGTGCCAGCAGCAGATCTGTGGTTTATTGATATGCAGACCTCTGAAAGCTACTTCTGTAGAACTTTAGATCATCAATACGATGTTGTCACGTTGAAACGTAGAACATTTACTGATAAGAGCATCCTGATAACAGGGTCCTGATAATACGATAAGAGCATTTTCCTTGTCGCAATAAAACACTGTCACTACAAATGTTGCCCCAAAAATCAATACTTCTGTAGATTGATATGTAGAGTGTAGACCTCAAGCTACTTCTGTAGAGACTACCCATTGTGTGTGTTGTGTGGTATACAGTGGGAGTGGGAGTAGAAATGAATCCTTCGTCGAGAGCTACTGAATGGGTTGTTTACTGTGCCTCAGGCTAACAACTCATTTGTACCACATCAGTGTTTATCGCTATATAATGTACACATATTGTGTGCTATATAATGTGGGCTATAATGTGCACATGTTAGATCTCTAACGATCTAACAAAAATTCCCATAGAAATTGGAATGTTTAGAAGATATAATTGTTTTGGCAGTTGATCTCCAAACTACTCATCTCATCTGCATTTTAGCCAAACATCCACCTAATTACACACACACACCAATATCTCTCCCGTACATTTGGGCAAGCAGTTCTAGTTTATTGGTCCCCCCACAGTCCACACTGGTATCACTTGTAATGATGTGCAGCGTACAAACATTACATTTTCTTTTTAAATCATTACACACTGGTCCTCAGGGAGAGTTCTAGAGTGAGGCCCATGGTTGGTGGCATACCCTGCCATGCCCTGTCATGCCCTGCCATGCCCTGCCATGCCCTGCCATCAGGGACAAAAGAAAATCGCTATTATTTTGCCCAAAAATCGCGATACCGCGATTTTTAACAGACTATACATAAGACTATACATAAAATTTGTCGCAAATAATGGGAAAAATCGCGATTCCGCACATGCCGCGATTTCCTTTTGTCCCTACCTGCCATGCCCTGCCATGCTCTGTCCGTGCTGAGATTAGAACTTGAAACCAACGGGCCTTTAGCTGGTTTAAAGCTAGCACCGTAAGCAACTTAGCCATATAGGTACATTTGTATCTTACATGTTTCCAAACAATGCATCATTATATTATGAATTATTATTATGTATTATTATCATTATATACAGAATGGAATGATTCTAAATAAACCCAGATATACGAGGAGGAAACCAAGTATTCAGTAGCTCAGTATGTTACCGAACTACTACAGCCCAAAAGCCAAAACGCACTGTATCTTAACACATACTAATACTATATAATATTATATACTGCAAATCCAGTCCTACAATGTTACCCATCAGCTACACTAAGTTCCAACACACTCGACTTGTGTAATGAACACTAATAAGTTCTAGGCAACAGTATTAATGATGGTATATATTTTGGAGCTGTGTTCTGTAAAATTCGGTTGGCGGAGTGCAGTTTGCACGTAAGTTAGGGTTTATTCTGCGGATTTTGCTTTTACCTCCACAAATGCTTTCAAAAGAACGACGAATGAGTGAATTATAATTTAGGTAGAAATTACCTGCTATGAATAATAAATGTGAATTCCATTTACAGTTTACCAGGTAACCTGATATTTCATCACAATGTCAAAAGGAACATGTATCTATAATATCCTTGTCAGTAGTAATAATGATTATGTGTCACTAAGTCTTAAAGTCTTAAATTAAATTTCGTTCGATCAATGACCATAGTTCTCAAAGTTAATATATGGAATCTTTTTAATGTTGACAAATTACTATTTTTAGTTTAATTCGATTTAAAATCTTGGAGCTGGCTATAAGTCACGTTTTTATCCACTGTTGTCAGCTAAATGTCCCACAAGTCACGTGTTATTTACCATATCACGTGTTATTTACCAATGTCACGTGTTATTTTTTTACCAATGTCACGTGTTATTTTTTACCAATGTCACGTGTTATTTACCAATGTCACGTGTTAAATACCACGTCGTGTCATGTTTTACGGAATATCTCCACGTTTAGTACTCCTTCAAATCATGTAACTATTTTATGTCAAGTACTCTTATTAAATGTTATACTATTGTAATATACAGTTGACTGTTTTATTTAGCAAGGCGTGAATAGCCGGCCATCATTGACAATATTTCAATATTTTATATTTCAATCTCTATAAAAAGCATTTTACAGAGTTTTTAAAAGATATGTTTTTGTAAATGTGATTTTGTTTGTTTTCCGTTATGTAACGTCAGGACTCGTTATAATTTACAAACCAACGTGTTTATTTACTGTAAGCTAACGTCATTATAGCTAAATTCGTCCAGTCCCAATACAATGAATATTTATTAAATGGCATGGTTAAATTGTATTATGTAAATTTTGCTGATTTAAAATGACACGAAAATTTAATTTGAACCGATTTATTAACGGAAAACAAGGAAGATTCGTCTTGTCCTGTAAGATAACTGTAAATAATGTGACGTCACCATTTGACGTCGTGTGACGTCATCAATCATCATTAATTAAAAACCTTCAGTGAACAACCAATGCAACAGAGAGGATTTCCTGTGTGACGGAACAAAGTGTTTGTCTCTTGAGAAACGCTGTGATGGAACCCGCGATTGCTTGGATGGAACTGATGAGCTTAATTGCGATGGTAATTAACTAATTAATGGAGGAACCGATCATTTAATTGATCGTTAATTGATCGTTACTGGGCGTTTTCTATCTCCAACACCAGGAAAACAGCTGTCTCTGATGATTTATTTCTGACGATTATATATTTCTGGCCAAATATAAAATATTGCGCGACAAACAAACCTAGTGTAATTATGATGACGGCATTTTATTGCCGGTAAGATCAAAATTAGCTTCTTCATTGTGGTAAAAACGATCGGATACTAGTATTAAGTAATTGCTTTCCAGTTTCATAATTCCTAAGATTAGAACATTGCCCACCTTATAAGGAGCGTTACCCCCCTTATAAGGTGGCGGCAGGTATCTGCTACATTTTGATCTATCACCCAGTCATCAGTCCGAAACCGCAGCATTCGGATTGCTGACGTCATTATTCAGTGATATTCAGATCAGGCGCCTCTTCCTCAGAGTACTCGCGCCTCTTCCTCAGGGTACTATTATTAGAGTATACCCCATCTACCGTGACGTCATAGCTGCAAAAATGTAAAAATTCAAAAATAGCTTGCAGATGAGTTGTGTTTTGACGTCACGAAGGAGGTATGATGGCTGCAAGACAACAATTTTTGTGCAAGTATGCATTCCTATGACGTCACGAAGGTGATCTGAAATATAATTATCTTTACAGGTCCGCAATGCAGTGATTCCCAGTTCACTTGTTCACAGTCCCGGCAGTGTATTGATGGCTCCAGAAGATGCGACCGCAACAATGATTGTCCTGATGGTAGCGATGAGTTCAGTTGCCCATTAGGTAAGTTATATATGGGGGCACAACATAGTTGTTGTAAGCAAAACATTTTGTGCGGAATTCGTACGTGAAGGTTATGCAAATATGTTGATAATATAATAAATCTTGAGAAGCAGAATCGACTGACCAGTCGGATTGCAGCTGTAACATGATATCAAGTCTTGTAACTATTTATATTGTCACGTACCAAAAAAAGTCATATACCAAAGTAAAATACAAGCTTACGCCTTACATTGTGTAAAGAGTGGATCTCAGCTTTCAGTTTCACTTTCTCAATTTTATTTAAATTTGACCTTCAAAATTCTCATTTCACTTTCGCAATTTTTGTACGATCACTAATTCATAACTTTCCATTCAGTTTGTCGTGAGACGGAGTTTTCCTGTGATAACGAACAACACTGTGTGTTACTATCCAGTAAATGTGACGGTGCTGCGGACTGTAGGGATGGTTCCGACGAACGAGACTGTGCCAGTAAGTTTTATGTCACGTGACTTGAATATAATAGTATAATGTTTATTATTGTTACTTGTGTATAATTAAAAACTTAGAGAATAAATGACATGACGTCATGTTACGTCACGTACTCGTTATCTATCATGTTGTTTATCATGTTACGTTCTATTATTTATCACGTTACGTCACGTTAAGTTTACTGGTGTGTCACGACGATACGCCGTCCCATTAAATTCTCGTGATTCTCCGACTCCCATTCCCACAATTACTTCAGAAAAAGAAAAAATTCTTTGGAAAACAAATCCGACTAATCGTGGTTACTATATATTCCATTCTGACTCAAAATACCAACATATTATTGCATTTCAATAAAAACTAGCTGAACTAGGATCTTTAACAATGTATCATAATATGTTTGGCACCCTAAAATTGTTTGTAAATTTGATTTCTGATCAAATTTAGTAAACAAACGAATTAAAATTTCGCAAGCATTAAAAGCCTAAATTTCATGATAATAATATGTAACGCATGTCACATAATTACATTATTCAACATAAATGTAGGTTGTAGAGTAGAATAATTGAACAGTAATTTCTTGTTTTAAATTGGTACGGATTGGTCATACGTGTCACACAGCGACTGATCCTAAATATTTTACCGTAACCTTCTGCTTGTTTATGTTACTTGGACAATCAATTGGGTATAGGTTTATATTTAATTATGATTTTGCTACATGTTATAATAACACAGTTTGATAAGTCTCCGTTTGCCCTATTTCCCACGATTGTTATCAACTCACCGGCCTCTCTTTTATCAAATCTATTGCTCGATATAACACTGGTAACTAACGTATGCGATATTCTCATTATATTTTAACATAATTAGAGAAGTTTTATTAGGTTCTAGTTACTTAAGACATGAAGTTGAACGTATGAAATTATGAACCTGTGGGAAATATTCCCCCGCCGTCTAGGCATTCTTAGGCTTATCTGGCGATACTGATGGTCATCTTGATTTATGTTGCAAAAACAAATTATATGTGAATTCGGAAGAAAAGTCCGGTTGATGGAAGCGCCACGGTTGTTACCCTGATTCATTAATTACCATACTGGCGTGCACGTTGCGACTTGTTGGTAACATCTTACTGTCATTTCAACCAATAGCATAACAGTGTTAAATTACGACTATTACAGTTTTCCGGGACATTTAAGGTACAAGCCCAGAAGAGGCTTATCACAATATTGCAAGTTTCTGAGGAAAACCTTTCGTTTTAATATTTTCCAGAACTCGTCTTCACTTTACATCCACCCGTCTCTCACCACCCCCAATATTCTGATGTTTACAAACACTAAGACGGAAATCCTGGCAATATATTATATAACCCTCATTAAAAATTTAGGGCACACAGCATGTTTACCTGTTAAAAGTACTGTAGGGCTCATGTTTATAATAATAAGGTATCAAATAAGGTAATTAATTAGAAGACGTGTATCACGTATGGTGTAGCACGTGGGCGTGAAACTCTCTGTGATTGGTTCACAAAATATCACGTGATGTATGATTGGTTGGCATGGGAGATCAAGATCAACCGGTGACGATCTCTGGCAGATAAAGTACTCATCACCTAAAGTTGGTTTCTAAAGGTCACCTCACTGTTCCACACGTGTTGTAAAGGTTATGAAATCGTGGACACGTGATATAAATGTTATCGCACGTGGGCGAGCACGTAGGCGGTGGGGGAGCACGTGATATGATGATATCATAATAGTACCATTGTTATTATAAAATAAGCTGCTGAGTCTCTCCCAGACATCTTGTCTGCTGCTGTTAAATTCAGTGCTGTTAAATTTTCACCTGAGATAGTGAGATCGCTCAAATTACATTTTCTTCTCGTTTTTTTATACGGTACATTGTTTTTACGGTACATTGTTTTTTGTGAAATGTGAACCATATTTTATTTGTCTTGCCACGTGACAGTGATTCAGGGTTTGCATTGGTCAATTCTGGAAGCTTATTGGTTAATCATCACAAGTTACCCATATCTACAGAACTTTATAGCGTTGGGGAGTGGGGAGACAAAATATATATTATATATTTATTATTATATAACCGTAAAATAGTTCAACGATATAAAACTCGTCGTCAAATTATTAAATGTTTTATGTAAAGTGTAAGTATTGATAGTTTCTAATGTGAATTTTGATAGTTTTAATTTAATTAACACAATTCCAAAATATAAGTATCTGTTTAATATGAGGAACGGTAGAAATGTCGATAAGTGATTTATCTATTAGTATTTACCTATAATGGAGGACCTATCACGTATTAATTATACAACCATATATTTTGTAGAAAAGGTACATGTCACGTACACCTTGTCTCCACAAAGAAACTAATTGCATGATCCCCTGCTCACCACGTACACACGTACATTGCATTGTACAGTCCTCTAATCTGTTTCAGTTGACAACACCTTGTCAATTTTCATGTGTTTTATATCCCGTTCAGTTTCATCGTTAAAACTTGTTCAACAAGTTAACTTGTTGTTGCGATGTTACTCGGTAAGTTTAACTGGGGAACATGACTAGGGGTGGGCACGGATAGCAATATTTTTGGGTGATGTCATGAATTTTTAAACGGCCCTGTTTTTTGGGTAAAGGGACATCCAAAATGAAAAAATAACTTGGTTTGGGGTCAAAAAAGCCCAAAATAAATATTTCCCGCCCCGTTTTCGGTTAGCGGGAGGGTCATTTTTGACGTTTTTGACTAAAATTGGCTTTATTTAATTCATTTTCACCTTTTACACCTCATTGTTACCCATGATTGTGAATCATTATTGACAAACCAGGTAGGGTGAATGATTTCAGCCATCTAAAAATTTTCTGAAGATCCCCAGGGTGACCGTATCCATGGAAACGGGTCGTTTTGAAAAAAAATTAAGCGAAATCAGCCAAAATGTTTGTTTTTACCCCTTTTTGCCACTCTAAGACTTTTAACATGGCCAAAAGTATCCAGAAAGACCATTATTGTACATTGTAACTTGTATATCAACTATGATAGGTATAAAAACATGATGTTAGGTGTTTTAGTGGTATTTTTGGGCCTTAGCAACGCCTAGCAACGGGGCGTTTTAGGCATTTTAAAGGTTAATACATGTCATTTTAATATCTTACACTCTATTGTTACTAATGAATGTTGATTATTATTAACATACCAGGTAGGGTTGATGATTTCAAGCTTCCAGAGCTCATCTGGAGGCATATTGGGTGCCCGTAACTATGGAAACTCGTCTTTTTACGAAAAATTGAGATTTCAGTGAAAATTAGGGTTTTTTATAACTTTATGAATTATGATCCATAAATATTATACTAGTTATCCTTTATAAACCCTATGACAGTTGTGTATTGGGAGATAAAATGGTAACTAATGTCTAACACTTCAGGGAGATAAATTTTCCCACTATTTAGGCCCCTAGCAACCCATAGCAACGACGATTTACATGCAAAAAAAAGCATAAAATACCACTATTTGACCCAAAACTGCTGAAAATTGACCTGGGTCATGGTAACAACGGTTTAAAACAGTAAAGTGACTACAATTAAACTATTGATGTTAGGGTTCCTCACTATGTAGGCCCCTAGCAACCCATAGCAACACCTAGTTACGTGAGTCTTGGTCGTACCTTCAATACCGATTGTCTGTAAGGTATGAGTGCCTTTCCTAACTTGCCAAATCCTGGCAAATCCAGTAACGTGTAGATCCTTTAACAGAACTCATGAAAGTTATGGTTGCAATTGAACTATTGATGTTAGGGTTCCTCACTATGTAGGGCATAGGCCCATAGCAACCAATAGCAGCACCTAGTTACGTGACACGAGTAAAAACTAGAACGTCAAATTTTCAACAATTGTTCAATTTTATGTTACAATATCAAATAAACTATTTTAGAACTTGACTTTAACAATTTTAATTGCTTTCAATCGAAATTTAAAATTAAAAGTCTTAACTTTTGACCATTTTTGAACATCGTCATGGTTAACAAAATCAAATATGACAAAATGGACCGTATTCATTTGTGAGACCTCCAGTCTTGGTCGTACCTTCAATACTGATTGTCTCTGTAAGGTCTGGGTGCCTTTCCAAGCTGGCCAAATCCTGGCAAATCCAGTAACGTGTAGATCCTTTAACATAACTCATGAAAGTTATGGTTGCAGAATCCCCATTCACACTGAGGACCTCCCTTGGGTAATGTATCCTCAAACAGCCCTATTACACAGTTGTTCTTCTTAGGAGGCGAACTCTCATCAGTATTACCAAACTGAACTTGATCTGGATTACCATGACCAATAGAATGGGGCTGTAAGGGTTCTAATTGCTCTTCAACAACTCTGGGGCTTTTCTGATACCGGTTTAGCTAGCCAATTGTTTAAACAAGATCTTGTAGAACGTGTGAAGCTTTACATTTTGTAATAACTTCCACCACCTTGGTTTCTTCACACAGCAAGTCAGCTTCCTGCTGGAACACACTCTTGAGTGACTGCTTCTGTTCCCCTTCAAATTTGAATGTCTTAAAATGTAACTTACAAACATCGACCTCGTAAGGATGGTCTTCTGATCGAATTGATACAGCCAGTATGACTGGAGGAAAGGAGGGCACGAACGAAAATCAAGCGATGTCAAATCCTTTGGGTAAGTTAATAGGTCATGATATAGGCCAGGAAGGATATGAAGTAGACGATCTGGGGGCTGCTATCATTGGCTATCAGGGTAAAAGTATTGCCCCAGTAAGTGTAGAGGATCTCCCAGTTACCAAGTCAAGCCCCAGAGTTGTTGAAGAGCAGTTAGAACCCTTACAGCCCCATTCTATTGGTCATAGTTATCCAGATCAAGTTTAGTGTGGTGAAACTGATGAGAGTTCGCCTCCTAAGAAAAACAACTGTGTAATAGGGCTGTTTGAGGATACATTTTACCCAAGGGAGGTCCTCAGTGTGAATGGGGATTCTGCAACCATAACTTTC